TTAAAAAAAAAAAAAAAAAGAGTTACTAAGTATGAAATGTAATTAATGCTAATTGAGATTTGACCAGAATTTGACATACTATTTATAAAAAATGGTACTCCCTCCTATTTTTTTTTAATGTCATTCTAGCTTTATCAACTATTTGCAAAATAAATGTCATTTTAGATCTTTTGTACATATTTTTCCATTATTACCCTCATTTAGCTAATAAATACATCACGTCTTTTCATATTCACTCTTCATCTTTTTCTCAAAACATTAATCTCTATCTTCATTAAATAAGATTATTATTGACAAAAAAAATATTCTTAATAAATGTGCAACATCCTAAAACGACATCTATTTAAAATAGGAGGTAGTAATTCTTTTTATCAAAAATTCTATGGAGCAATCGGATTGTTTTCTTATGGAGCCATCAATTGCTTAATATATTGACACCTGTCCAAATTGTATTTATTGTAAGACATATGTCAATACACTATTGGTGAATATGTGTGAATTGCTCCATAAGCTGAGCAATCCGATTGCTCCATAGCAGAACTGTTCTTTTTATATATATAGATAAGGGGCAATTTTGAAGGCCGTTACTATGGGGAACTATTATTATTATTATTATTATTATTATTATTATTATTATTATTATTATTATTATTATTATTATTATTATTAAAAAATACATAACTAAATTTGCAATTTGCTCAGTAAAAATATTATCTTTCTAATAAATAAATGAATAAAGAGATGAAACACAAAGAACACAAAGTCTTTTTCTTTTTTCTTTTTTAATTTTAATTGACAAATAAGGTTATATAAAACTCAAAAAGAGTACAACGGTAACTAACATTTACAAGGATCATTCTAACTGTCAAGTGATAGAAAGAAACGAACTAGAGAGAAATCACTTAGGCTGCGTTTGTTTAATGGCTTTTTGGCCAAAAAAGAGCTTTTTCATCTATTAGTTGTTTGACTTTTTACAATCAGTTAAAAAAAGTGTTTGGTAAATAACTTTTACAATTAACTTTTTTGGCCCATTCCGCTAATGTAGAAAACGCTGCTTTTGCTAGCATTTGATATTGGCGGTTCAAGAAAACAAAATAAAAAGTCTTACTTGCCCACATTTATACCACACGCACAATTAAAAAAAAAAAAAAAATTAAATCAAAACTTGTTCACTGTTTGTACTTCTTATCCAAACCTACAACAATAAAATATTATATCACATTTTCATATTTAAAAATATAAATAATATTTATTTTTTTAAAATAATAACTAATGAACATAAGAAAAATATTTATAAATGTAATTCCAACTAATTTTAGTATAATACTTAACAATTAATTTTACAAATTATTTTATAAAGTTTTAAACATATATAATTTTAGTTACTTAGATGTAAATGGGAACTTTTTAGAAAATTGTTAATGTAAATTTTAGTTACTTAGATATTATTTATTTATTTATTTATTTTAAATAGTGATGACTTATTATTAAGTTTCTTTATATGAGGTGAACTTATTTACTCAGTTAAGAAATATTTTTTTATTATTATTTATATGTTATTATAATTTAAATCACTTCAATAAATATTTAAATATTAATTATTTTTCTTCTCTAAATAATTATAAGTTCAACACAAATAAGAATGATAAATTATGTTGAT